GATGTGATGTATTAAGCTGAAACAAAAGTTGAATGAAATCTAAAAATTCAGTAATTAGTTTGAAACATGAAAATCTGCTCATTGATAGTGATGAAGGAAAAATGTGACACTAAAATCAAAATTAATAATAATAATAATAATAATAATAATGATAATAATAATAAATAATAGTAATAACACCAATTTAGATTCTAAATTTAAAATAATAACAATAAGAACGAACGAAAAAAAAGAATGAACAATATTTTCTAAATTAAAACAAACAAATCAGTCTAACTCTAATTATCCTTAGTATGAGAAGAGAAGGGGAAGTGTAATAACAGTTTACCATAGAAAGATAACATGATGACTTTGATTATCCTTTAACTTTGATTTGTTGAAAAATTTACATTTCTATACATTGTCCTTCTCGTTTCATCATAAACGCTTATTTTACCATATTCGTTGAAAAAATTTGCACGATCTTCTTCTACAAGCTACAAATAAAATTCTTAAAAAAAAAAAAGTTGAATAATCAAAAAATTTTTATAAATATTAAAATTTAATATATTATCTGATCGATTATCGCTTTGTGAGAAAAGATTTCTTTCAAATGATAAAAATAAAGTTAAATGAAACAAACAAAAATTTAAAAATTCATTTATGCTTAATTTCTCTTTTGTTTTTTTAAATTAATTGAAGAAGAACGAAAAAAAAAAACAAATGATATTTATAGCTCTGTTAATTATGCAATTTACAATAATATTTGTGATAGTTAATTTGTTGAAATTAATAATTTCCCTGCACGATATTTCTTTATTATTTATTAATCTATTCAGTAGTAGAAATAATTACTGCTAAAATTTTACAACAAATCTTACTTCTTTCCGTTGTTCGATCAATTGATTCTTTTTTCGTATTTCAGCAATTTTCTTATCTAATGCTTCTTCATCCTCTTTGGATCGAATACGTCCACGATCGGATATTAATTCAGGTTCTTCTTCTTCTTCTTCTTCTTCTTCTTCGATTACTTTGCCATTTTCTTCATCCTTTTTCTTCTTTACCGTTTTTGCCATCATAATTTATATCAAAAAAATTTTTTGCGCATTATTTCTTGATAAATTAAGCAATTTATTTTTAGAAAGAGGAATGCAGAATATTGTCAAAATGGCATAATAAATCGGAAATTTTCGCCATTCATCAAAATTCAGAAAGTTTTTCCGTTCAAAAACGGAAAAAGAAGGAATGCAAAACGGAAAAAGAAGGAATGCAATGGCATAGATTTCATGATTGTGAAAAATTTCAAAACATTGAAAAGGAAGCAAAAAAGGTTTTCGATATTATATATGATGTATATCCTCAATGGATACAAATTTATTTGCCAATCTAATTGAAAACCTGAAAAATTGAAATCTATCATTTTATAATATGTTAAAATAAACAATAATAAATGACTGATCTAAATTATTGATAATTAATTAACTTTTGACAGGTAAGCAATACCTTCATATTGGTTCATTTTAAAAAATTCTTGTAAAATGCAAAGTTCTAATGCTTAATAATTATTAAAAGGTCAAAGGTAAGTGCATGAAACGTGATAAAAACGCACTTAACGAAAATAACAAATGATAAATTTTTTTGCATGAATTAAATTTTTAAATTTTGAATTTAAATACTTACGTTTATATATCCTACGTACACGTACCATTTAGTATTTTTTACGTGAAATAATGATATCAACAAAATATACGTTACGTAACGTTCGTTCTTAAATTAAATATAATGCAAATATATAATATTGCGATGATATTTGTTTTTCAAACTAATTAATAAAATTAATTAATTAATTAATAATAATATAACAAATTAATTAATTAAATTTGGCAAAATTTTCCAAATGAATTAAAATTTAATAAAATTTTTTAAATGAATTAATAAAATTCAACAAAATTTAAATAAATTTCTATTGATAAATTCAATAAAAAAAATATCTAAATATCGAAATTAATTAATTAATTAATTTAACAAAATTTAAATGAATTTCTATTAATAAATTTAATTAAAAAATATCGAAATATCGAAATTAATTAATTAATTAATTAATTTAACAAAATTTAAATGAATTTCTATTAATTAATTTAATTAAAAAATATCGAAATATCGAAATTAATTAATTAATTAATTAATTTAACAAAATACAAATGAATTTCTATTAATTAATTTAATTAAAAAATATCGGAATGAAAAACTTAAATTAAAAAATGACTCATAAAAAGAATGATATTATTATTATAAGAATACAAAGAAATGTAATAATTAATTTTAATGAAAAAGTAAAGGTAAAAAGAAAAGGAATAAAATGGTTGGAAAAAAAGAATGAATAATTGAGGAATAAATTGATAAAAATGGCGAAGTAGAAAAATGCGGAAAATATCATCAATACAATCATCCATTCTTACAGCCTACACCGATAGCTCTTCTCCTCTCATATCGAAAACATCTTTTCTTCTTCTACTACTGAACCAAACAAATTGAAATTCAATTTAATCAAAAATTTTAAATGATAATTGGAATTAGAAATATGAAATAGTATTGGAGAAAGGGAAAATTTCAATATTAATTTATATTCAAATTCTATTTTGAAATATATAAAATTAAATTACGTTTGTTAATTATAAATTTACTTTAATTATTTTACTTTGTGGATCATTTAATAAACCTATTACATACAACATTGCTACTAGGCTATAATAATAAATGAGCCAAGGCTAGAAGTACATTGTCATTCTATTGCTGAAAATGATGAAAGAATTTTAAATCCAAGGATTCAATCAATAAATTCTATCATTTTGTATAGTTCTGTTTAGTGGAGGAAAAATGAGGATAAAACCAAAATAAAAATTTATCGAAAGGCTCTTCATGAACACAACTGAGAAATGAATGTTTGAGTATTGTGAATGAGAGAAAGACAGACTACAGAGAAAAATGATGGCTAATGTGATCATCATCTTCATCATTATCATCATTATCATTATCATTATCATTATCAGTATCATTATCAGTATCATCATCATCCATCATCATTATCACTTATTATCATTATTATTATTATTATTATTATTATTATTATTATTATTATTATTATTATTATTATTAATTATTATTACATTACTTCTAACAATACTATCAAAATCAGCTCCGATTGATGTACAGAAATGATAACAGAAAAGCCCATCCTACCTCTAATGCACCCATTCCGTACAGACAGGAATTAGACATACCTTGCAAATCAATAAAATCAAACTTGACAATGAAATCACAATCATTAGTATTTTTCAAATTGATATCTCACAATCTAGCTTATTGCTTTACTGAATTTATCGATTTGTTTCGGAGCTATTTAACGGTTGACGTCAGTTTTAAATTAGAATATCAATTTGTTAGCTTTTTTTTCCTTTTTATATTTTAAAATTGGCATTAAAATAATTAAATTTATATAATTACTACCACTTAATAGAAATACTGAAAATACCTTTAATTAATTAGCTAAAATTCCAATTATATGTCTATGAAAAATGATTATTTCAATTTCGATACATATTGTATATTACACATATGAAATTAATAATTATAAAATTTAATTTCGAATTAAAATGAAATAGAATTGAAGGAAAGAAATCACAAATGAAGCGTTTTCTTTTTTGATGAAAATATAACAATATCAGCGAACACAATTTATTCCACTCTTTCTTTCAATCTATCTATTCGTTTAATTTCTATAAACTTCCAGCACACACACACACACATCCATCACTACTTCATTTTGCTCTGATGGATAATTTCAATTTCATTTCATTTCCATTCATTTATTTATTTCAATTCTTATACGTATCACACACACATACACACACACACACACACACACACACATCCATCACTACTTCATTTTGCTCTGATGGATAATTTCAATTTCATTTCATTTCCATTCATTTATTCATTTCAATTTTTATACGTATCACACACACATACACACACACACACACACACATCCATCACTACTTCATTTTGCTCTGATGGATAATTTCAATTTCATTTCATTTCCATTCATTTATTTATTTCAATTCTTATACGTATCACACACACACACGCACACACACACAACACACACACATACACACACACACATACACATACACACACACACACACATCCATCACTACATTTTGCTCTAATGGATTTCATTTCCATTCATTTATTTATTTCAATTCTTATATGTATAATCGATCCTGTATTAACAACTGAAATTTCATTATCATAGAAATATTGAAAGAAAAAAGAAACGACTGAATTTCATTTTTTGCTAATTACAACCAGCTTTTTAATATGTCATTTAAACTATTCCATCAATTTAACAATTAAATTAATTAATTATTTAAAAAATTATTTCTAAAAAAATTTGGAAGAGATAATACACCTGTATTAGATTCTCTTTTTTTTTGATAAAAATGATAAGCAATAAAAAATGATAAACGTGATAAATTTGTAAAGTTGATAAACGTGATAAAAGTTGATAAACGAAGGAACGATGAAAAATACTTATGGAAGTATTTAATTTTAGTAAATTATTCATTTGCAGCAAAAAACAATGGTATGTTGCAAATGAGCAATATTGAAAAGAAAACATTGTTTTGTTGGTAATGAAATAAATATTGAAATTTGAAATTATTTATTTTTAACAAAATGAAATACAATTACTTATCTTTGTATGATTGAAACGAATTGTTAATAAAATGTCTTTCTCTTATTTCGACATCAGACATTATTTATCCCTCAAATTGAATGTGATGAAATAGTTGGTATCCAATCGATTCTTTCTTATACATTACAAATAGCAATTGATAAAAGCGCAAATGTTTGTTGGTATTAGATTATTGATATGGCGCAAATGTTTGTTGGTATTAGATTATTGATATGGCACAAACGTTAGTTGGTATTAGATTATTGATATGGTGCAAATGTTTGTTGGTATTAGATTATTGATATGGTGCAAATGTTTGTTGGTATTAGATTATTGATATGGTGCAAATGTTAATTGGTATTAAATTATTGATATGGCTCAAATGTTAGTGATACTACATTACGTGTACTAACTACATTATTGTTTTCAGTTTATCGTTTAAAAATTTCGAAATAATATTATCGTTTCCAATCAATCATATTTCAAGAATTTCAGAGTAGAGTATCATGCGTGTGAAAAAATAGCGATACATGATGTTCACTGCAATAATCAATACATTACATATCACCGTATGACATCATCGTCAATTCAAATTATTTTATTTATATTGAAATGATTTCTTTTTCCTTCTATTTATAAAATTAGCTTAAAGTATCGTAAAATTTAGTAGCATCTAAGTATCTTTGATAAGTTTGAATAGTATTACTGTTTGTACTCATTGGAATATTTTAATTGAGTGTTTTTGAATAACTATTAATTTTATTATTTTATCATTTTGAATAATATTTATGCTTCGGAAATTTTTTTATTATAGTTAATACATATAAACAACTCAATGAATTATATGCTTACGCTTTTATTTGTTTATTAAAATTTGTTTACTAACTTATATATATCTGCTTAGTAAACAATACTTCATTTCAATAAGCACGAGAAATTTAGTACTGTTAAAAGGAGATCAATAGGTACAGGTACAGAATAATTATTTACTTAATAATGATAGGTACAGAATAATTGTTTATCAGAAGGTACAGAATAATTGTTTATCAGAAGGTACAGAATAATTAATTATTTCATAATGGCTGTATATCTATAAGTAATTAAAAAATGATGTCAGTTGTAGTATTTTTTCTGCAACCTCTCAACTCTCCGATTGTTTTTTATTTTTATTAATTTTTAAGTTTAAATAAATCTCTTCTCTGTCCAACTATCATAACCATAGAATTTGATAACAACTTTATCTTATCACTACTGATAAATCGTTCAGACATTTTTGCATGGATGACATAAAAGATGACATCATCGGGCTTCATTGTCTCAGTTTTCGTCCATTTTGAACGAAATAGGATTGTGTGTGTGTATGTGTGTATGTATGTGTATTGTGTGTGTATGTGTGTGTATATGTGTGCGTATGTGTATGTATGTATGTGTGTTTCCTTAGATATTTTATAGGAGAAATTGAAGACTGCCAGGAAGCGGAGATAATAATGCAGTTTGGATTAGAGATTAAGAGAGAGAAAAGACGATGAAATAGCAATAAGATAGGAAAGATGGCGCAGGTTGATGAATTTGCAAAAATAGCGTATAATTAGGGCATCAGATTTGGAAATATTGCAGGAAAAATCAATATTTAAAGAAATTAAGAGCGAAAGGATGTGTCGAGTTAAGAGATAGCAGAGATCAAAAGTTAAAGTGGTGTTCGAGAATATTCTCGCAAATTGTCGACTGGACAGGCTGATAATCAGCTTGCGATGCTTTAGAGATACGTTTGGTGCTCTTGCGTAGACTCGTGTGATGGGATGTGTTGCTGAATTTGCGTCAGTTCACGTGCGTGATGGGGATGGCAAATATTTTTAGGACTTCGCTTCATTAACCGATTAACTGTATTCCATTGAAATTTCTAAGAATATGACCATATGTTTTAATGTACTAGATTTTTCTTATAAGTCCTAAGATTCATTTTAGACATGGCAAGTTGTTTGTTGATCGGTTACCTTATTTACTTGTGAAACGATCTGTTTGAGTTAATTCTTCGGTATGCTTTACTTTCCATGAAACAAGTTATTTTACATCCTCTGACTAATGCTATGCGCCTTGTTACAGCTGCTATTACTTTCGAGTTTTGTTAAATTTTTGCAAAAGTAGCAGAAATGGAAGAGCGTACTGAACTGCAGCATGACTTGCATGAGCTACGAAGTTTGCGTACCATTTCATCTCGTCAAATGATAAAGAATATGCTAGATGAAAAGATCACCCAAATTGAACATAAGGTAGCAATTTTTGTTCCTCTTCTTGGGTTTATCTGGTGGAGAGTGACTACTAAACTGATTAAATGTGACAATAATGTCCGAATATCTAATTTGTTATGATAATCGGCTAAACCATAATATTAATGCGAAGCACTTTTTCTCTCAAACAAGCAGCTAAAACAGAGTTTCTAACCATATGGTCCTCATTGCTTGTCAAATAAACAAAACTTACTTCCACATAATTATCGGCAAATGGTTATTATCTTTTGCATTTTAGATAAAAGCACTGGAACAAGCGAATAAGGTTAATGGATGTGGCGATGTACCAATTTCGAAACAGTCTAAAACAGAAGCTGTATCTTCGAATGCTGTGCCATTGGCGACAGTGAAAATTACTAATTATGGTAGCGGAATACGTTGACAATGAGTTATGCAATCTGTAGTATTGAAGTTTCTCTTGAAACTTCACTTACCATGGTGTACACTCGAGAGCACTAGAAGTTGTTCTTTGCTGTATTTGTAGTAATACGGGAAGAAATTTACGGACCAATTTTTCATGGCTTCAGTACCACGGATTACAAGATAGATTTGTGTTCATTGACATGATGGTAAAATTCGATATCTGGAACCATTGTTTCGAAAGATAGATTTTAGTTTCATTCCAAATATAACAAGTCTCTTCCAATTCAGGACTTCGCATTTAATGCGAGAACGGCTGCATAATGGAAAATTTTCCTGTTATCATTGTTTCAGCTTGGGATCAGAGTGACAAATATGTGAAGCTTTACCTTACCATTCCAGATATACATACTGTACCGCAAGAACAAATTGCAGTCAGATTTACAGAAAGGTAAAGACTGAATGGGCTGAAATTTCAAACTTTATTTTTTTCATTCTAAAAAGAAAAGAAATATCTGCGCAACAGTGAATATTAGACGAATTTTTACATATTTGCGCACATAGTGTCAAATTTGTAGCCGTTTATCCGACATTTTCATTTCTTGGTTACAGTGAAGTGGAAGTTAATGCTCGTGATATATCATCAAAAAATTACTCTTTGATAATAAAAGGTTTACTCAAAGCAGTCAACCCATCCAGATCTTCTTTCAAGGTAATGCTTTAGTTATTCTTAAGCCCCTATTATGGTTCTAGAATGTCACGTTTTTTGAATCCTATTTATAATAATTTTTATTTACTTTAAGTTTCAATCCTTCTACACATCTATATAAACTTCGAGGTAGTGTTCAGCATGCTGTAGATTATACATCCTTTATTTAGGCTTTTTGCTCTCGATCACGAATGCAAAGCACTCCTTCCTATTCCATATCTCCTACTTCTGTTTAATGCTGATGTACTCTGCTACAACTCTTATCTCCTCATGCTATATTACTATTGCTCATAAAACTTTAACTCGTGAATTATTTTGATCCTGTTAGAATAACTTGTTTTAATTTTAATTCCACTTATAGCAAAAAACTAATCTTCTGTTGATTATGATGGAAAAGAATGAAGAGGGAAACTGGAAGTATTTAACCAAAGCAGAAATGCAGAGCAAAGAGAAGAGGTGAGAATTTTGTTCACTTCCATGTGATTTCTATATAGTCCTTGCTGAAACATTTTAATTGATTCACAATTATCTCAAAACATTTTAACTAATCTATAGCTTTTCTGAAGGCATTGCTTTATTTTTGTCAATTTGGAATTCTTCATGTGATTTCTATATAATCCTTGCTGTTTAGCACACCCAAATTTGACCAGAAATCAGACCCACAAGAATCACTGATGAGCTTGATAAAGCAAATGTACGATGATGGAGATGATGACATGAAAAGAACAATTCGTAAAGCGTGGCATGAAAGTCAGACGAAAAAGAGCGTAGATCCTGATGAAGCAATGTAATTCCGTTCTAAACAATATTGTTATTTGAAATGATTTCTTATACTGCCAAGTATTCTCGATGTGCTGATTTTGCACGCCATATCTAAACAGGATTAGGATATGAATTAGCTGATTCGCTTTTCAAACTTACCATTAATTACTTGGCATTTCCTGTTTGTCTCTGTTATGTTCTGTTTCAGTTAATTACCGACGTCTTTGCCATTGATTGTTTGATAACAGTAGCTATCATAATTACATATTAAATACTTCTTTTTTTGGTGCTTTTAAACTAACATCATACTACGAATTACTTTATTAAACGAAAAATCAGAAACAGTAATGAACATAATAAACATTGAAAATATTGACAAGAAAACTTACTTTATAAGCATTCCCCGCTTTTATCTAATGAGAACAAAAATTTGAATTTGAGGAGATAATAAGTAACTAATAAATATTGAATGTTTTTATACTGTATAGTGGGTAGCGGAACTTCATTTTTAGATCATAATGACTGAAGTGAAACACTAGCAGGGTCGGCTGGCCACCAAGAAGGCAGGAAGACTTCGATATCCTCCTCATTCTCCGATTGGAAATGTGTTGTTAATGGAACATTCCGTGAAATAGGCACCAAAGCTAAGCCTTTCCTTCCGGTGCATGCAATCACTCTTCCTGTCCGCGATCCTTGCTTATTAACCAATGAGCCAGTAACCATACCTGAACAGGACTAGAAATTAATTTGAAGGTGTCGATAAAAATGAAGCGAAGAGTAAGGAGAGGTTGGTCTCCGAATTAATTAGGAGTTTTAGTATTATTGATAGGGCGGAAATGCGGGACTTTATCTTTCTGTTTGATAAAATTTATAAATGCATATGCGATAACGATATGGTCAAAATTAGAAAAAAGTCCTCACTTCTACATGTGAAGGGCAAAAGTCGTTTCCGTATTTCTGGTGCATTTAACGCGCGGGATGTCAATTCCTGCCCTAAATAACACCCTTTGTTTGTACTGAAATATATGAAATTGTCAGTAATGCATACGATGAAGATATTCGAGAAATCTCAAAAAAATAAAGTGGTGCCAATCTTATTTGAGTTAGAAGATAAGGCAAGAACAAAGTGAGTATTGAAAAAAGGATATAACAATGAATAAGGAATTAATCTAAAACAATGTTTCATACCCAGAACCACTTGTATAGCGTATAGTATTCATATCTTTTAATGGAAGTAAGGCTGCTGAATGAGCAAGATATTGAGAGCCAAAATTACAGTATTTGCAGACCTTACACCATGCATAATATCGGCATTCATGAACAGTGGAAGCTCACCAGCTAATTCACTCGGTCCTTCCGGTATACCAAAATCAAAGCGCCTTTCTTGGTATGCATTTTCATCTATCGTTTGATTATCTAGAAGCTAAAAGCTAGTAAGCACCAACAATTAACAGAAAATGTTACACACTAAATTTACAAAAAAATATGTTTAAAAAAAATTTACAGTGTTATTACCTGGCAGACTTTTACTAATAATACGTTTACCGAAGGATGGCACTCGTGGATCTTCGATACCGAGAATATCATTTGTTATATTATCAGCATGGTAAACACAGCTCTCTGTTTCTTCTTTAATTGTTACATCTTTGTGTACCTTAAACATTTCCAACAATTTCCGTAATTTCGACTGATTGTTTCGATCACTTTCAATCAAAATTTCATCTGCTTGCCGATATAAAATCAAATCTTCCACAATACGGCCACGACTATTGAGTAGTAAAGCATACTGTGCTCGACCATCTGCTAAACGTCTAAATCATCACTTTCATTAATTTAATTTACTCCATACTTGTAAAGAATATCATTTGTTATATTATCAGCATGGTTTTTTTTTTAAGTTTTTCGCTTAATATCCTGTAATACACTGAAATGGTCCTTAGCATGTAGGATTTCTCTAGCATTTTTCATTAAACAACTTAATGGTACCACTGATCACAGTTAAAATGCTGAACAAAAATAACATTACTAAATAATTGCCTGCGTGTAACTGACGATTATTGTAAGTCCATGTTGTAATTTCTAAGTTGTAAATCCATTCTATGTTTGCATGAATATAGTGTAGGAATGCATGCTGATAATAAAAATTAGAAAAGAAAAATGTATCTGACCTGATATCATTTGTAACGAGAGCTTGCAAGAATTGGAATACTTCTTTTCCTCTTGCTCGGAGTAATCCTCGATGTCGAAGATTGTATATAATTCCAGTCATTCTAGTCATGGAGTGGACTTTCAACCTAGCACTTAAATAGAATCAAACAAGAACTTGAAACAAATCTCCACAATGAGTACAGTTGAAAAGCACGGGACGATGTTTTTCGTAATGGATCGCTGATTGTCACATCGAGACATCATTTTTTCCGAGAAAGTATGGGTGCATGGGGTGGAGACTGTTCGGTGTTCCTCGTTTTCGGTGGGGTCTTGGGTTTTTTTCATATTTTTGCCGATTCCCTAGTTCCGGAGGATTCATTTTGTTTTCCGGATTCACTGGGGTAACGCACATTGTCATGCATACAATTTTCAACATTTTGTTTAAATGTCAGAGTGCTGTATGCAGCTAAATTTTATTCTTAAATTTACCGATACGTTGAAGATCAGAAAAAGTTCATTTAAACTAGAGAACAAGAAAATGAGCAACAATTTGGATTTAATCATTAAAATCAATCAGATGTAAAAACAATAAGTTAACAATCTCTGCACCAAATATAGTACGTTTAGGCGAATAGAAATAGCATGACTTTACGATTGGCGAATTCTTTTTGAAAAAAGTTAGTAAATCGCAAAAAAACTAAATTGGAAATGAAGATAACACCAAGAATGTGAAGCACGGGTAAGTAAAACTGAAAAGATTATTCACTGACTATACAAGAGTAATTTGTTTTCTCGTTTTGCACCTACCTTTTTGGTAAATACGATGTCTCAGATTCGCTAATTTTCATTCAAGAGGTATTTAGATAATCGATTTTCACAGTGAGTTTGATTTAATACTGAAATAAAAGTGAACTTATAGCATAGAATAATTTGATTAGGAATGGATGATAATAATTAGTAGACAAACAAATAAATGAATAAAGGGGTGAATTTCAATATTGAAGAAATAAAAGTGAACTTATAATATGGATTAAATCGGTTATGAAGATTTAACTAATAGTGCTAGATTTAAGGAAGTTGCAGGAAATAATAGATTTAAGCGGGCTTTTGAACGGATTCCAACCATCCTGTGGTGAAGGAATTTCTGGTGACGTTGTTGTAGCGGATGCTCTAATCGTATCATTCTTGTAATTGCTATCTGTAATGTAACCATACTGCTTATAATTGGTAAAGATAAATTTAAGCTCGCGAGATATTCATGAAAAAACATATGAAGAAAGTAGTGTATCGTATTCTTCTTTTATTTCATTTCTAAGATTGTTACAACGAACTTGAAATAAAACATGACTCTAATCTTATTCTAAATACTTACTTTCGAAAACTCTGGTGGCATAACGACGCGATTGTTGAGCACGCTTTTTCTCGTAACCAATTTGACGTGGAGTGTGGCGTGGACGGGATAGCTCAGTCGGTTTACTTTTAGGACAAGTTATATTACTGGAAATATATTATCGTGTTTAAAAAAATGGAGTTGAAAGTTGTTCTCATTCATTGAGCAATAATAATGGTAAAGTTAAAAAGTAAAGAAAGTGAAAGTGAGAGAGAAGTATGCGAGTGTGATTCTGCTATTTAGCTCATATCCTCATGTCTACAACAATTATTAGAGGAGATGCATGAAGTTTAATTAAAATTAAAGTTATTTCAAAAATACAGAAAAGGTAAAGTGCCCAAAAGAAATACCTCGAACAATGAATGATGTCAAATCCGAGCTGAAAACGATTGTAATCGGACATTACATGAATCAACGAATTAGCTTCTTTGAAAACAACAATCGCATATTGAGGAGTACCGTCTGCATTTTCATGTAGGGTAACCTTTTCTACGAGACCAGCCTGAACAAAGAATTATAACATAAAAAATCTAGGACTAAAAGGCCTATTATGTTGATGATGGAATGAGTAGACATTGTTGATGACCAGTAAACAATAGATATAATAAGTAAATTACAAGGAAAATGAAGATTTCAATCATATTTTAGGAATTTTCGTATAGACCTGTCATTAACAAAAAAATCATTTAAATTTTAAATTTTAAAGTTCAAAATTTGAGAAATTATTAGTTACAATTTAAATTCTAAAAAATTATAGAAAACTGATCTCACTAGAATATCTTAATGAAGTAAAAAGAAAACATGCCTAAAGTGCTACTTGTCACATCATAATTAAATTTAGAAATGCAAAGGAATTAAATTTACCTGACAAAATGTTTCGTAAATGTCATCGACGGACGTGCAAAGATTAATATTGGACAAGTAAAGAGTTCTTTTACTACGATTCGATTGATTTTGTTGTTCCATATCAGTTGATATAATTTATGCAAATACAGATACTTGTTGATTCGTTAATAAGAATAACAAAGCAAACAACTTCTCAAGCAAGAAATTACACACTGAAACTATGAAACATTATATGTTTCGGAAATTTGCCATTTTCAATGAAAGAACAAAATTTGCATATTATCTGTACGTTATCTTTATTGCACTCATTTGCTCTATCAACTCACTCATTTGCTCTATCAAATGATTTCTTGCCAATGTGTTCTGATGTTTTCCAGCATTTTTTACATTAGAGTTCGAGGATTTCCACGTGTCTCATTGCCTCTAGCAATTCTCGATGTCTACAGCAGAACAAATTTTTTATATACACGTGAGTTATGTACATCATGTTGTATACGTGCAACATGAAAAGTAATCATTATCGATGAAAATGTGAAACTTCTTTTACTACTGTTGAATACTTTAGATTACTTTAGATTCAATATAATTATACTATTATTTTGCTCGTATTATTTCACGGACAATTCACGCTTTCAGAAATGGATCTATTTGATGGCGATGATTTAAAATAATTCATAATGACCTAAAATAATGTAATATACCGTATAATTGTAATTTATTATTGCTTCATGATCTTATTGGATATCGTAAACCTGTTTCAGAAAATTCCAATGCTTACAATTTCAACAAGCATCCAATATTTACAATTTCTACAAAACGTACAGCCATCGTATAATGATCGATAATTTAAAGCAATGATAATCAGAATTATCAAAATTTTTTTTTTGGCAAATCAATTAGATGAAATAAAGATGACAATTAGCAAATATAATATAAAATTATTTATCACACAGTAACCGGTAAAATATTAAATAACCTTTTCTATAATAATAAGAAATTATTTGTAATAATTTAGTAATAATAATTATTAATAATAATTATTATTATTAATAAAAATAATTAATAATAATAATAATTCCCCTCAAAAATGATTCAGAAAAAAAATTAATTTTAAAGTAATAGTAATAATAATTATTATTA